AATAGCAATGAATGGATGTACCAGAATCAATATCCGAAGTTCCCTCTTACTGCTGACTCAACTCACAACAACCACAACAACAACAAGTCCACCATGGCTATGGCTTCCCTCCTTCAACCTCCTCTCTCATGCATAGGCCATGGCGGACTACTGGGAGGCAGCTATGATGCTGCCCTGATGTCCAGAAGACAACCCAAAGCAGCTATGCCGCTGCTTGACTTGGTCCGCTATGCCTGACTCTGCAGTGCTACCCCAACTGGGGCCTTCCAGATGCAGCTCCCAACAAGGTGATGAAGACGGTGTCCACCATAGCCAGGTAAGTGCCCTGCCACTCTCCTACCTTACCCCCTTCCTCCTCCTCAGGCTGGGTTGCTCGCCATAGCCAGGCTGAGCTCCCAGCTACCTTCACCTCCGCCCAGCGCTGTAGCAGACCAGCAGCGCTAGCGCTCCAGCAGCATGACGCCAATCCTTGCACACCGCAAATGAGGAAGAGCTCTCCGCTCTTCCTGAAGATATAGCGGCCTACCGGCCTCCTGGGTGGTGACTTCCTAGGCCGAGTGGCCTCCCAGCAACCGGTACCTCCTCCCTTTCGGAGGGAAACATCATTGCAGGCTCTGTTATCGTCCGCACAGGCCCTAGACCCGGGCTACTTGGACTGGTACCGGCCTACCTCTAACCTTCCGCTACTGGGCCTCTAAAAATGCCAACTTTTTGTCTTCTTCTGCTCGGCCTACCTGCTACTTGAGTGTTTTCCCCAGCTGCTCTAAGTGTCGTGGGCCTAGCCCCCGCTACCGGCGTGTTTACCCCCCTGCAACCCTCCAAAGTCACGGCCACAGGTAAGTACCGGCCCGGTGGGCCTTGCAACCAACAAGTACCCTTGCGGGTCACACACACACGTACCCAACCGGCAAGCACTCAGACAGGCATGCAAACCAGTAGGCACGCACACACACACAACTGGCAAGCACTCAAACAGGCATGCAAACCAGCAGGCACACACGCACACAGACTTGGAACCACAGCAGAATGTGGGAATCACAGCAAGGCATTCATTCCAGTGACAAATCCCAGAAATCAGCAGTGTTCTCAGTCTGTGTTTTTGGCGGGTCATTACACAGCTTTGTTTGCCTTCGTACGAACGAAGGGATTGCGTGCTCTGCTGGCAATGTAAAACAATGTGAAAAATGTGTAACCCCTTGTCAAGCAAGCCATGCCACGCGGAGATTGGTATATCCAGCACAGCTCTGTGGCCCTGAAGCATTCCACGCTGCAAAGAGGCTATCAGTGCTGACGTGACGGTAAAGCCTCCTATGATTCAGTCTGATATGACGAAGAAGTGTGCTGACGTGGTACTGTAGCCACCTATGACACTATCCTATGCAATAATGGAGCAATCTGACGTGGCAATAAAGCCATCTTAGCAGCGAGCAAGGAGCAACACGTATGAACCTGAATATGCTTTAGCCTACATCCCAGATTCTCCATACATGAGCTCCTACCTTTCCATGGACATTCATGGTTCATATGTGTTTCTCCTTGTTCCTTGGCAGATGCCATCACATAGGTTGGACGGCATAAGAATTGGGGCCTACCTTTCTAAGTTTCTACGTGATGGCCTCTGCCAAGGAATTTGCCTGTTTATCCCGAGCACGATCCGTGAAAGCATGCATTCCTTCCCAACTTGTTTGTGTGTGACGGAGGGCTGCTCGACTACCGACTTGTGACAAGTAAAGTGTATGCAACCATGCTGTGACAAACCAGCACTGTCGTACTGGCTAGCTGATGCTGCACGCCCTATTCACCACCATCTCCCGGCTGAGAAGTATATTCTGCAAATCTGCGTTGCTGTGCTGTCTCTTCCCACTTTCGTGTTGTTGTTGAGCGTGCACTTGAATGTGATTGCCCCCGTCCAGCCCTGCACTGATGGGGGTAAGGAGGCAGGTTCTCTGCTGATGAGTACTGCACTAATAGTCCTGTTTCCCCCCCATATGTGGCTGAGTGTGATGCTCTCCTTCTCCCCCCTTTAGGTTGTCAAAATCTTCCCCGTTGTGCTGCTGATCATTCCCACTGTCATCGTTTTATCCGTGATCTTGTTGATGCTGTTTTGACACTTGTCACGATCACAATCCTTCACCTGATGAGCCCCTTGTGAACCATCTGCCTCATTACTCCTCTGCTCCACAGTTGGTTTGCCATATTGTTGTTTTGGCCAATAGTTTGCTGTGGTAGGCCGGTCAAGCTCTGCCCGCCATCGGGAAATCATGGTGCGCAGCTCATCGAGCATTAACAATCAGTCTCGCAGATCTGCTGCCACCTCATCCCGTTAGGAGTTGTATTGTTCGTGATGTTGTTGATATTGTTGACCTGAAGATTGTGAAGAACAATAATTTGCAATCAGCTCTGCAGCTGGAACTTTGTCCGCCATTATAGTTCCTTGCTCAACGTAGGGCCGCAAGGCAGGAGGGATGTCCTGCAGCCCGTCTCCCTGCGAGAGTCCATACTCCATCTCTTTCCCTCTTTTCCAATCTTCCACTTTCCCTGAATTGATCCGATCCACGTCACGCACCCCTTCTCCCAGACTCCCACCTTAGTATCACCCCTTCCCACTGAACTATCGCCTCTCTACCGCCTCCTCATCTCTTGGCAAGTGGCAAGCAGACGGTTCAGCGTGAAGGCCATGTCGGAAACCGAGCCCCAACGTGCCACCCGGGGAGCAAACCTGGCCCTGCTGGCTGGTCCCCAATAGGGTACCAGGGCGGTATCCGTACTCAAACATGGGCCGTGATAAGCAGAAATGTAATGCACTCAGATCGGGCCTGAAGGCCCAGCAGTCCCACTTGGAGGAGGGATCTTACGATCACCTTCCTCCCTATTGTCACTAACTTAGTGGCTTCAATAATCCATCCCTTTGTCACCCACCCGGAGCCCTTGATCCATCTTCTTCACTCTCATTTGTGCCCCCTCTTCTCCCGCTGGTCCCCAGTCTCGTATCTTGCTTGTCTGCTGTCGCTGCTTAGAGGGGACTGATTCCTGGCTGACATCAGGATGTAAGGGGGTGGACAGAAGGACCAGGCTGGGCGTGGTGCCGGGTAGTAGGTAGTGGCAGAGTAAGTGGAGGCGGGGGGGAGGGGAAGGGGACAAAGATCACAGCCATCCGCTGACTGTGCTGCGGGGGATGATAAAAGCATCCTCCTGTAGCATCAGTCAAGGTTGGGCAAGAAAAGGACCGGGGCCATTACCTAGGTTCAACTATCTGGAGAGGGCGGCCGCGATCCCGCTGGGGGGCACCAGTGGGAGAGCCCCCCAGCGGGAGACTCGGACGAAAGTATTTTGAGACGGGAACAAGAAGTAGAGGAGGAAAGGAAAAACACCCAGAGGCTGAACAACTGTCGATGCTAGAGACTGTCGCTGCGCTGAGCAAAGAACAGTGCGTGAACAAGATACAGTCCTTGTTTACAGCGGTTGTCCAAGTTCGTGCACTAGAGGATCACATCGGCCATGTTGCTCGATTTACACAGAAATGCAGAAAATTCGGAATGAGTTGGTCGATGTGACCAGCCAGTGTCGTGACTTGGCAGCTGAAGCTGCAAAAGTGCAGCAGACCCCGTTGTTGCCGTGATCAGTGACAACGCAGGGATTTGTGCAACTGCTGCAGCCTCGAGTTTAAACACAACATTTGCTAGTGCTGGTTATAGCAGTCCCTATGTGGACAGAAAGGCAGTACAAATACCCTCGAGGTACGACAACAAGGAAAATGTAGAGTCCTGGATCAGTTCCATGAGAGCCTACTTCGAGGTGCTGGGAAGTCAACTTTTGAGTCAGTCCTTGATCATGGGGACTAACGTCGAACCCGCCGTACGGGCCTTTTAGAAGTTCAAGCTATGCATGCCGGGTACACTAAGATCGATCTGGCGCATTGGCTCAAAGCCACAACAATGACCACACTTGAAGAGATACTGATTAAGCAATATAAGGACCCGCATGCAAAAGTTCGAAAAAGGCTTGATGATCTCAAGCGCAACAAGTGGTTGGGCACAATGCACAACCTGCAATTGTATGTTAGCAAACTTTTTGCTACTCTTCTGTTGGAAATGACTGCACAGTCATGCTTGAATGTTGTGAAAGATACGGTTCCCAATACTTGTACACATTGCCTAGGCAGAGATCTCATTGGAAACACAAACTGACTTTCCCTCATGCAGGATATAGTCAGCCTTGAGGCACAAGACCTCGTTTCCACAACAGACAAAAAAACCTACAGGCGGCAGGTGGTTTAGAGGCAGCAACCTGTGCATGACCTGTTGGAGGCTGATGAGGAGGCCTATGACGCTGATACAACCTGTTCCTCTTCAACCCATGAGTTAGACATTAATAATGGTGAAGAAAAACTTAATGCCTTTATAAAGTTTACTAATGTGACGGGACCGAACGAAAACTCAGGGAAAAACTTTGACCCACTCCCCAAATAAGTCAAGATCCCAGCCAAGCCGGAGGATGTTGCAACCAAACTTTGGTTACATCTCCAGATGAACGAAAGTGAATGGAAGGCTAGGATCAGGAAGGGAGTTTGCCTGCATTGTTTGAAGCCGAATCATAAAGTCCAAAATTGGTATAACCCGAATCGGGCGTAGGGTTATCATCAACACACTCTACAACAAGGGAGGCTGGATCGATAAACGGTAGTTCCTTTAAGGAACCTGATTTTGTTCAACAGTCCTCTCTTGAAACCCCACCTTCTGCTTCCAAGGCTGGTGCATGGCATGTCCTTTATGTTGAGCTTTTGGAGGAGTCTAAGAAGCTTAATTACCACTACCACCTCGAGCATTGGGCTGAGATGAAACATCAACGTGCTCAAGGGACAACGAAATTTATCTTCTTCAAACTTCTCATTAACCACTGCTACCCCTGTGTCTTGGTTGATTGTGGTGCTACTACTAATTTTATCTCTCCACACGGGGTGGGCAAGGCGGGCTTGGGGATGAAGCAAGTGGAATTGCATAACCCTTGCCGGACCCAAGTTGGTAAAAAAATGGTTGCCTTTTTTTTTTTTTTTTGGTCTTTTTTTTTTCTTTTTTCTTTTAATAAGAAGATTGAGGCCGGGGTCCTCACAGTCTACCCGAAGTAACCGAACCGAACATGCTGAGAACCGGGCTCAACGTCCCTCATATGATGATAATGATGATGAACTTTTGCTGATTCTATGTAAATTGTGAGATAATGATACTAATCATGATGATGATGATGATGATGATAATGATGATGATTAGTATGTAAAGAATATACAAGACTATGCTATATCAACAAATCTGGCCTCCT